TCTTCTCTGCGAAATCAGGATGGGACTACCTTCCTCCCAAGGCTGTGATAAAAAGGCTTACATTAGACCCATGCAAAGTGTGTGGCACGTGCCAAGCAGACAACAGGCACTAAAGAAACACTTGCTCCCTTCACAACTTCTCTCTTCCTTCCACACAAGTGAAACAGAGACTCCAGCACAACACACAGCTGCCATATTCTCCAGGAGATTGTCAGTTCCCCTGGCACAGAGAATACTCCTGATTCATCTCTGGAGCCAGTACTCAGCCTAGGGCCTGGCACAGAGTAAAAACATAACAAATACGTGTTAAATGGAGAAAATGAGAATCCTTTGAGTCTGCGGGCATTAATATTATCCTGGTCACAGTCAAAAGAGACCCTGATTTTCAATTTGGCTGAACAGGCAGTTGCCACAAGCTACTATGTAGTTCAAAGCAAATAAGTTCTTTAATAATTACATTCTTTAAAAGATACAAAAAACCAAGTGCCCCACAGCTCTCAATTTTAGTTTTGAGAATCCAATTCTTTCCTAAACAATGGAGTGGGTAACCACAGAAACTTGTGGAATCTCTTTTCCTAGAAAACATGAAGAGCAGGAGGCAAGCCAGTCTGTCTGGAAACGGCTTCCAAATCTGCCTATAAGCAGGATGAACTGGGTCAGATGCCCTTCGGAGGTTCCTTCCAAACCTACACCACTGAGATGTTAGGAAAAACAACTAAAATAATTCTGTCATTTATACCCAGGAAAATAAAATAAATTTAACATCTCCTAACAGTCACTGGAAATAATTTTCTTTGGACCTAGTGATGCTTTTACAAACACATTTTCTTCTTAAATTGTATTAGACCATTATAAGCTATTAATTTGAACATGAGCTCTCTTTAATAAGACAGAACACAGATTGAATTTAACATAGGAAACAAGTTTATTCTTTTGTTTCTCTTCACCTGCTTCCTTGTGCTCCAAATCTACTAATCCCTGCAGACTTATAAAAAACACTGCTTCTCTCCAAATACTCCATTCAGTTCTCCCATTTATGAATTTCTAAGGCATGCATTACTCATACCACATTATGTAGGTGATTAATTTATGGTGTCTTCTATTTTCATCTGATTCACAACTATTTTTTTCTCCCATGCTGACCTATAAATTCTTTGAATAAAGTCCAAGTTTTATATTCCTCATGTATAATACTAAGCTCATGATAAGTGTTCACCAGGTCTTACTGGCTCACTTACTGATCTAATATGAAAGGGTAGCACAAGAGTTACACTATACCCCTCTGGAGCTAAGCTTCTGAAGTTTTGGCAAAGCAGACACTTCAAGTCAAAAATAAAGCTTTTCAGATAGCTATAAATTGGCATCTGTCATTTAGCTGGGACTAGCATAGTTGAAGGTTAACAGAGGCCAGAGGGAAAACCCCAGATTTTAAGAGCACGGGGGTTTAGCTCTGGCCCTATAAGGAATAATAAAGTGATCCTGCTCCCATGAGATTGAGGCTATTTAAGAAAGCACAGCACACAGGGGTCAGCATTGTGGCACAGTGGGTTAATCATCTGCCTGTTGTGCCCCCACCCCATATGGGTGCTGGGTCAAGTCCCAGCGGCTCGACTTCCGATCCAGCTCCCTGCTAATATGACAAGAAACCAGTGGAGGACGGTCAAAGTGCTTGGGCCCCTGCACCCAGATGGGAGACCCAGAAAAAAGCTCCTAGCTCCTGGCTTTGGCCTGGCCCACCTGGCCCAGCCCCAACCATTGTGGCCATCAGGGGAGTGAACCAACGGATGGAAGACCTCTCTCTCTGTATTCTTCTCTCTCTCTCTAACAGTGCCTTTCAAATAAATAGCAAGCAAGCAAGCAAGCAAGCACAGCACATGCCCTAGATCACAGAGCTGCACTCGCTCTGATTTTACATAGGATCACTTATTCATTCTCAAGGCAAGTCAGCCAGGTGAGAATAAACAACAGAAAGGAGCTTTAAAAAATCAAAATTTAGTATCATTTGAAAAACACTTAAGTAAAAATTGTTTTTCTCATTCTTAATAATCCAAAAAGCACATCTAGAACAAGACTAATTAGCCCAAAAGTTCAATTACTACAAATAGATTCCACATACTTACAAGTGGAGAAGTAGGCCTCCTGCTCCTATCTTTATATAACGACATGGGAACTTCTGCTCCCTACCATGTGCTGGGCACTGTTAATACAGCATTCTACCAAACTTGTGATTATTCTCATAACATGATTGAAAGCCTTTACTTAAGGAGACTTCAGGAATAGTCCAAACCTCTTAACAGAAGAGCAAATCAAAGCCCAGAGAGGTAACTAATGTTATCCTGTATATGGCAACAAAGGCAGAAGCAGAAACCAGATTGCCTATCTCTCGTCTTGTAACAAAATTTACTTATTTGTTAAGCAAGTATTTCTGTGTGCCTCCTCTACGCCAAACACTACGCTACACAGTAGGTACATAAAAACCGTAAGATAATGACCCTGTTTTCAAAAGATTCAGTCTATTGGCAAAACGAGGGAAACAATAAAAGCAGCAGTAGCAGGAAAAAAAAGCAAACCATATCTTTTAAATGCCTAGGACTTCCAATATTTTCAAAGAAAATGAACTTGTAATAGTTTGCTTTATCCTCACAATAGCCTTCCAAGTACCCAGCACAGATCTTACTATTCCTGGAATATAGATGGAGAAACTGAAGTACAAAGCGGTAAGAGAGTCTATTAAGGTCATCTCCAGTGGCAGCAAAATGCCTAGAAACCAAGTTTGTTTACTCCAAGTAGACATTTTTTCCCCACTAGATGGAAAAGGCAGATGTTCTTTTTATGTCCAGCTCCCTTCTGACCAAGAGCAAGGGTTTTCAAGAGTGTGCACAGGGCAATCCATGGTTGTGAAAGCAAACTCAACAGTCTGTGAGGTGTCACCAGCTGAGCTTAGTTAGTCTGTGGCTAAGTAACTAACCAACAAGACATCATTATTACCAATATTCTTAAAATGACCATTAGCCCTACACAGACTGGATGGGAAACGTTCTGCCCTTAGGGGGGTTGTATTATAGGGAACAAACACATAAACATTTCAACAAGTGACATAATTAAACAAACCATCCCAAACAATGGCACATTTAGGACAATAGAAGTTTTGCAGAGCAAATCTAAAGGGAGCTGCCAAGAAATATACTCTTCAAGGGTTAAACAGAGAATAGAAGCTTTATGTATAAAGAGAGACACACCAATCTTCAGATTACTGAAATAAAGACTCTTATTGGGAATGTTCATCACACTAAAAATATTATTCACTTCCTAATTCCTTCATTTCACTTTACAACTTTACACAAAACAATTATACAAATATTCCATATACCTATTTCTAGGAAAGTTATATATTTTGCAACATTTCCTTTCCAAGAGGAATGAACTTATAATGCAGGTTTCCATCAGCACGACTTTGGCAAAAAGTTTAAAGCTGTGTGACACCACTGCCTTATTCTTCCACACTCCTCAGGGGCAGCCTACATGAAATAAATCTCATCATTTGCTCACCTCATAAAATGTACATACATATTCAAGAATTATTTCGTAAGGACTAAAAGCATTTCTTCCTTTTCAAGTTAAGTTTTAAACATTAATTTCACTTGTTTGATAACCTAACATTTGATTTATTCAACTACTTCTAATGGAGCAACTATTTTAAGCCTTACAACTGTAGAGCTATTAACAAAATAGACAAAACTAAGGAGAAACAAATATTAGTGGTATTAAGTTTCTGACAGGAAGAATTTAAGAACAGGTAACAGAGCAAAAATTATAATCATCCATCCAAAAGAATAACGTTTCAGTTATTTTCAAAATACAATTTAGTTAAAAAAAATAAAACTCTGGTATTTCCTGATTACACTCAAGAGATTCATAGACATAGCCAGTTACCTTCTTTTGAAATATCTGGAAAATTTTATAAGGTGATAAGTAGCAATTTAAATGACAATTCAGAACTACCAAAGATTTCATTAGAATTACAACAAACATATAATAAAACTTTTACTCAATACTTTTCAACTCCTATATTCCATAACATTGTCTAATTCCTAGGACTTAGTTCCACCACAAGAAATTAAATTTCTTTGAATACAGAATAGCTTAGACTCTAAATGTGAAGAGCGGTAACTTTCTCAGGGAGACTGGCAGGGCCTGAACTTATCTCCAGACCCTCAGGAGGAAGACCAGTGGGCCAAAGCGGACCGGAAAGGAAATAATTACACGTGCAACCACAGTGACATCTAGTGTTAACAACTGCAAGCCGACCACATTACCATTAAGTCCTGTTAACTGCTAAAGAACCATTCAAAGCTTCTCTTTAAAAACAAACAGAGCTTGTTCATTATACCTAAAACTACCCACAATCAAATTGTTCCATAGGTTTCCTTCCAAACATTAAAAAAAGTTTTATAAAGAGAAAAACATCTTAGAGAGTAAACTAAAGACCATAAAGTAAAGAACATTGTTTGTTCCCCATGGTCAACATCTGTAACTACTCCCCCTGGTAACTGGTAATCTGGGACCTATTCTGATGACTGTTATCATAAACATTTAAACTTCCACCTGTAAAATTAATGATACAGCACAGGCTAGTGCTTGCTTTCTTGATCAAGAAAAAGTAATTTAGGATACTGCATGGATACTTAAAGAAGATTCAAAATAAATTAATGAATTAAATAAACAAAATAAAAATCCTAGCTGTTACATGGAGAAACAAGCTCTACATTTCAGGCCTTGCTGATACTTTGTTACATTTTTATTGCTTTGAAAGGTCCACTTATTAAACAGTTGATATTTTTGCTCAAGAGCTTAGAATTTGGCAGCCTAGGTTAATTCATTATAGTATTTTTATAATTTATGCTCTAGATCAATCTATAAAAGTATGCAATATTTCAAAAATTATATTTGGCCAGGATAATATTATATAAAAAGTAAAGTTAGCATTTGGTGGAGCTTACCTATTTGTTTTGGAAAGTTCATCCTTTCCTCTTTTAACTCCAAAAATTCTTGTGATCAAGGAACTAAAGAGAAGTGTGGATGAATTTCTCACCTAATGTAAAAATAAACACACAGTAAGGGTAAGAAATATTCATTGCATGAAAACAGCATTTACAGTTTTCAAACTACATATTCGAAATCATTACAAAATTGGCTAGAACAGGGCTAAGGAAAATATGGTTTGTGTTCATAAAACAAGACAACTTTCAGAAAAAAACTCTATAGTAACTGACTCAATGACTTCCTCTTAAACTGAGCCATACAGTCCAAGTTGATGCACAAAACACAGCTTTTCCCCGTAATTCTTTTATTTTATTTTTTTAAAGATTTTTTAAATTTATTTATTTGACAGGTAGAGTTACAGACAGTGAGAGAGACAGAGAGAAAAGTCTTCCTTCTGTTGGTTCACCCCCAAAATGGCCGCAACAGCCAGCACTATGCCGATCCGAAGCCAGGAGCAAGGTGCCTCTTCCTGGTCTCCCATGCAGGTACAGGAGCCCAAGCACCTGGGCCATCCTCCACTGCCTTCCCAGGCCACAGCAGAGAGCTGGACTGGAAGAGGAGCAACCAGGACTAGAACCCAGCGCCCACATGGGATGCTAGCACCGCAGGCAGAGGATTAACCAAGTGAGCCACAGCGCCAGCCCCTTTCCCCATAATTCTAATATTACTATTCTTTTCATTATGTCTTTTTGCTATCAAATGATACTTCAAAGTATTCACTTGTTTTTAAAGTTCTATTTTTCATTTACTTGAAAAGCAGAGTTACAAAGAAAGGAGGAGAGACAGAGTAAGAGAGAGAAAGATCTTCCATCTGCTGGTTCACTCCCGAGATGGCCTCAACAGCTGGGGCTGGGCCAGGCCAAAGCCAGGAGCCCAGAGGTTCTTCTGGGTCTCCCACATGGATGAGAGGCCCAAGCACTAGGGTCATCTTCCACTGATTTCCCAAGTGCATTAGCAGGGAGCTGTATCAGAAGTGGGGTAGCTTGGTCTCAAACCAGCGCTCCTATGGGATTGGGCACCACAGGCACAAGTTTAACTTGCTATATTACATCAGTCTTCACTTTTTTAAAAAATTTTTAATTTGAAATATAGAGTTACAGAGAGAAAGGAGAAACACAAGAGAGATCTTCCACCCACTGGTTTATTCCCCAAATAACCACAATAAACAGGGCTGGGCCAGGCTGGAGCCAGGAGGTTTATCTGGGTCTCCAACATGGGTGGCAGGGGCCCATACTCTTGAGTCATCTTCTGCTGCTTTCCCTGGCACATCAGCAGAGAGCTGGATCAGAAGTGGAGCAGCTGGGCCACAAACCGGTACCCATATGGGATGACAGTGTAGCAAATGGCATCTTAACCCGCTAGACCACAACTAGCCCCCCAAATTCATTTTTTATATCCCTCTTGACCATAAGTAACTCAAAAAATATCTCATCTCTTTCCATGTATTTTCTGTAACCATTTACCTACAAGATACCTAAAGACCTAATTCCAAAGAATCCATATAATTAGTATGGTCAAGAAAATATTTAAAACCCCAAATGTTGTTTATTAATTCCACAATGCCAGTAATCTACTCAAGTAATTTTAACCTTAAAATTACCTGAAATAACAGATTACCCAAAAGAGAGGCTGAACTCATTACTTAGGATGGGGTTAATCTTACGTATATAAAGTTAATTGAAAATAGCTCTTTGTAAAAAATAAGAACAGGAATAGGAGAGGGAAGAGGAAGAAGGGTAGAAGTGCAGGTGGGAGGGAGAGTAGGGTAGAAAAAATCACCACGTCCCTAAATTTGTGTATATGAAGTTCATGAAGTTTGTATACCTTAAATAAAAATTTCTAGGTTCAAAAAAAGGCAATATAATTAATAAACATGAATCATTTCTCCAAGATGATAATGAATGTATCTTTTCCCAAACCAAAGGTAAGATGCTTTGAAATATTATTAAAACATCTTGAATATCATGGCATTGTCAAGCTTCCGCAATTTCCTTGCCAAATTGGAGTAGAGTATGAGTATGTACTAAGTTCTCTATAGGGTGTGAGGCACTATACCACAGCATTGGGAATATCTAGAATTAGAAGACACACACTTGGTGCCATCACAGAGCTTATCTTCTGATGAGGTAGGTGTGCCGTGGCCATATGATATGTTCAGTAGCAATGTAAGTAGAAAAGTCATCAAAAGTAATGATGCCTCCTGGCTTCAAAATGGTGCAGCTCCAGCCATTGTGGCCAATTGGGGAGTGAACCAGTGGATGGAAGGTCTCTCTCTCTGCCTCTGTCTCTCTTTCTCTCTCTGTGTGACTCTTGACTTTCAAATAAATAAATAAATCTTTAAAAAAAAAAAGATATTTAGGACTCTGTCTCTTTTTATGAATCTCTTAAAAATACAAAAGGAAAAGCCAAAACACAAACTCCACCTTGCTCTAAACAAAACTTTCTGACAAAGGTTTCCAAATGCTGTAAAGTTAAAAACTGGAGTACTCAGAGATGTCAAGAATGCACACCTTCAGCAAAACTGTAGAGGACCGATTTACAAAGTGAATGGACATGCCCCAGAAATAAAACCACCTTGACTGATTCAATAGGCTGGACACAGGAAACATAGGATATCTTATAGTAAAGTTAAGATGCATCAGGACTATCATACAGTCTGAATGTTTGTGTCTGCCCCAAATTCCTATGTTGAAATTCTAACCCCTCAGGTAATGTTATTAGGGGTTGGGACCTTTGGGATGTGATGGAGGACCTTCCCCCCTGATCCCACCATAAAGGGGATTAGTCTCCATATAGAAGAGGCCCAAGAGAGACATCTTTCATCCCTTATACCACGTGAGGACACAGCAAGTACGTCTCCTCTGAATCAGGAAAGTAAGCTCTCCCCAGACAACAATTCTACCAGCACCTTGATCTGAACTTCCTAGCCTCCAAAACTGTGAGGAATAAATTTGTTTGTAAGTCACCTCGTTTGTGACATTTTATTATAGCCACACAGACTTTAATCATAAAGTTCCAGCAGCAACAGCCAATGATGATTATAATAAGTGTAACAAAATGGTGATATTCTATGTAGTCTTCTGCATTACTTATTCACAGAAAATATAGTTTTTGGAAAAAGGCTTTTTCTCATCAGCTATTTGCCTACCCTGTTATTCAGTGACGATTTTTTCCATATATTCACCAGTTTTCAGAATACTGAGTTCAAAACACATCAACCTCCAAAGGTAATTGAATTTTCATTCTTTAATAGGGATATCTGTTTATTTATTTATTTGAAAGAGAGAGAGAGAGAAATATCTTCTATCTACTGGCTCACTTCCAAAATGCTCACGATAGCCAGGGGTGGGATTAGGGCTGGGCCAGGTCAAAGCCAAGAGCTAGAAATTCAAGATGGGTCTCCCAAATAGGTGGGAATCAGGGATGGACCTAAGATTTGAATCCAGGCACTCTGATATGAGATGTGAGCATCCCAAAAAGCTTCTGAACCATTATGCCTGAACATCTCCTAATAGGATCTTTAAAATTACTTTTCCTTTCATTGAGATATATGCATATATCATAAAATTCATTATCTTAAATTGGTCATCATTTTAATGTAATCAAGGCTCAGACTCGCCCACATTGTAACATATGTAAGTAAGCTATTCTTCAATATCCCATTGTAAGCTTATATCACATTTTTAAATTCTATTTATGGGGCCGGCGCCTGGCTCACTTGGTTAATCCTCCGCCTGCGGTGCCAGCATCCCATATGGACGCCGGGTTCTAGTCCTGGTTGCTCCTCTTCTGGTCCAGTTCTCTGCTGTGGCCAGGGGGAAGAGGGCAGAGGTGGAGGATGGCCCAGGTGCTTGGGCCCCTGCACCCGCATGGGAGACCAGGAGAAGCACCTGGCTCCTGGCTTCGGATTGGCGGAGCTCCGGCCATAGCGGCCATTTGGGGAGTGAACCAACGGAAGGAAGACCTTTCTCTCTGCCTCTCTCTCTCACTGTCTATAACTCTGTCAAATAAATAAATAATAAAAAATTATATGCATAATTTGATGAACATTTGAGTTGTTTCCACTTTTCAACCATTAGGAAAAATGATGGTAACAAACATTCATGCACAAGTTTTTCAGGTGAACATGTTTCTCTTGGGTATACATCAAGAAGTGCTACTGGTAGGTCATGAAGTAACTCTTCAGCCTTTAGAGCAGGGGTGGGAGAATGTCTGGCCTGGGGGTGGTATAAGGCCCATGAAATCAGTGGGTCTGCCCCTGCTAAGGCAACTATAGGTGGGACACAAAATTCAAGAAACCTATAGCAAGCTAATTTTTAAGCTAATAATTTTGTATGTCATAAAACTCCAAACGGCCTTTGGCAGAAAATATGTTCCCCACTCCTGCTTTACAGGAACTGCCGAAGTTGTGGTACCACTGTACAATCTCACCAAAAATGTATGGAAGTTCCAATACCGCCAATTCTCAAATTTCTCAATATTTTCCTGAATACTTGTTAATGTCCAATCTCTTTATTTTAGTGAGCATGAAATGGTATCTCATAGTGATTCTGACTTGCATTTCCTTGGTGACTTATGTTAAGCATTATTTCATGGGCTTATTAATCATTTGCATAATTGCTTTGAGAACTGTATTCAAATTTGTGTCCTCTCTCTCTCTCTCTCTGTTTCTCTCTCTCTCTCTCTCGTTTCTTTTGTGAGCAGCAGAGAAAGACAGACAAAGAGAACTTCCATCTGTTGGCTCACTTCCTAGATGCTCACAACACCCAGGACTGAGCCTGGCCAAAGCCAGGAGCCACATATTCAATCCATTTTTCCCACATGGGAGGCTAGAACCCAATTACTTTAGCCATCACTACTGCCTCACCGGGTCTGCATTTGCAGGAAGCTGAAGTCAGGAGCTGAAGCTGGGCATCAAATCCAGGTACTCGAATACGGGACCTGGACATCATAATTTGTATCTATAACCACCAGACTAAATGCATGCCTCTGTGGCCCATTTTTAAACTGGACTGCTTTATTAGTGAGTTGTAAGAGTTCGTTATATTT